CTTCTGGAACGTTCTCAACAGTTCCAGAGGGTATTCATTGAAAAAAAATCTGCATCTTGGCATCAGGACGCATTGTCGCCAACGTGTTAAAAGAACACTTGCATTTCTGCTTTATATTTTTAAAAGTGGAGAATTTTATTGTGAACTGTTTTTCATCTAGAATACTCATCAGAGGGAATCGATTCTTAAGCTCATCCTTGGCCAAGAACCTATTTCCAAAGATGTTAATTTGACCGAATTGGCTGAGAAGACTCCTGGGTATTCTGGGTCCGATCTGCGGGAACTTTGCCGCACAGCTGCAATGCTGAGTGTTCGTGCTCAGTTCAGGTACCTTTTTTATGACCTTCCTATAAGTCAGATAATTTGTATATGTTATTTCTGTTCTGGGGGGATGTTAATGAGACAGAAAAATTCCTATTTGATGTAACAGAGAATGTATTTCTCTCTTTTGTGCTTAATGTAAGACTTTTGTTAAAAGTATCTTTCCTTCAAGATACAGACCATAAGATTTAGTATTTCTCTGTCAGTGTTGGGGGGGGGTAAATGGTGGTTCTATTTATATGCTTTCATGATGTCAAGTCAAGCTAGTCAAACCCACTGTCAGATGGGTCTGGATGAGAAAGCAGAACTAAAGGTTTACACTTCCTTATTCCAGAGTGGAGGCCTCATCAGGTGAGACATTTGGTCCAATCACAAGAGCATCCTTTGAGCAAGCCATAGCCAAGATCAATACATCAAAGGTCCCAAGTAGCAGTTATCCGCTTCAAATTCCCCTCTCCTAGTCCTAGGATCATTTATCATCACTAATGAAGGATTTAAATTGATTTTATGACCACATCCAAGAACAAACCAGCCAGCTCTTTGTCTTTTTGAAGGCATTCTTTATATGTGGAAAGAAATTATTGTTTTGAGAGATCAATTATATGTGTGACTTGTCATGTCATGATTGATCTGACTAGTCTTTGGCAAATGAAGCACATGTTCCATATAGGAATTTCCAATGTGCAATAAACCTTCCTAATAGCAAATCATGATCATCTTCATTAAATTCTTACTGTTCTCACAGAAAGTGTACTGTATCAATGCCATTTCATATTCCAAACATCATATGATCAATGCAGTATCCTTCTGGTCTCTACAGTATTGAGAAGTATGGTTGAATGGAATTAGCTGGAAATTTGGGTTGTTGAGTGTCAGGAGGTGATTCAAACCATGATTCAAAGTTATGGACACTATGATGTCCTACACTGTGGGCACAAATTTCCTGATGAGGACTTCTGGATGACCAGGTAGTTTTGGAGCCATGCTCAATACACCTGACAGGATACAGGATTCTCTTGCAGCTTATGATACTAATTGTGAAATGCTTAGGGTGTCATCTTGCTATATCTAATACATCCTGAAACCAATGTTAAATTTGGCAGGAACTCTGTTTTAGGGCATCTCAAGATGTTTTATCTGATTCTCAACTCCTTCAAAGAAGTTCAGTCCAATGAGATAACCTTCATCCAAGATCTAATGTGGTATTTTGCTCCACCTTCTCAAATGGATGGACTTTCAATGCACCAGAAGTAAACCGTCATGTCACATCTGCTAAAGTAAATCGCACATTTATCAGCGAATAACACTTTTAGACCCGATAAAATCTTTTTTTGGCGCAGATTCCTTTAAATTCGCTGTGGGGCTATGTGATATATTGAATATCAATGATGCTGCAGAGGTACTAAAATTGTGAGTGAGCGCTTATTTGCAATGTTTTCGATGCATAGAAAATATCAAATTGCATCAAGTCAGTGATACTTGTTGGAGATCGAGGCCAACCGCGATATCTTCACTCGTCATTCGTTGCACACTAAATCCCCATCGATTCGGCACATTTTAAGCCTCCGGCACTGAAGGTTGGAAGCGAACCTTCTCCTACCCTCACCCATTTTTTGGGGGGAAGGAGAAGTTCATAGGCGTAGAACTACATAAGGTCACATTTTAACCACTCTGATCTATTCTCTGACGAAGCTGAAAGTGAGCAATCGAAGAGGCATTGTCCCTTCCGTTCCGATAGGTAAAACTTCGATTAACCCTTACCCTGTTTGTCTCTCGCTGGCGATTTTCGACGGGTCGTGAACATTTTCCAAAGCCATTCCGTGTTCTGAGTCGATGCTAGGTTGACACAACCACGAATGAAAAAATATGCTTCCTTTATTTCTGAGCCGTAAAAGTGCAATTCGACATTTTTCAGTATTTTATGAGCGACCATGTTATAATGGACGGATGCGCCTCCTGACGTCCCTATCAAACCTTGATCCCGCGCTACGTATTTGGAGCAGTGCACGGCTCTACTTGGGGGAGCCAATCACGTACGGGAATGGAGCGCAGGGGAACGCTGGTACGGCTCATGAAACTTCCTCAATGCTTGCCCGACGTTCCTTTCTTCAATGAGACGCACAGTAGAAACTTGGAGGCCATCTCGCTTCACTCACAAGCCGTGCGTATGTCAAATATGAAGCTCAGCTCATGAAAGAGATTCTCACCATCATGTCATTCAACTAATGTCGGGTTTTACTGGGGAAAACCGGATAAAGGTTATAGAGCTCACTTTTAAGAAGCAAATCGTTTTTTTATCCCTCGCCGCTCATACTTAGAATTTTAGATGTGATGCGATGGAGGCCTGAAAATAAGCTCCGACATAATGGAGATGCTCGCTTTTACTATGACATCAGCCTTCTCTGGAGAGGAATCCGACCCTCTCTTGAGGTTCAAGAGCTTAGACTCTTCAGCTTAATGCACTAAATAATTTTCTACTTTTCATCCGCCCCGGGAACGTCTCCGAGATAAGAAAAGGAAAAAACCCCGACTGCCTCATTCCTCGCTTCTCTTCCCCTTCTGGAAGGAAACTCACCGCAAAATAAAACCGGACCCCTGCAACCCATGAAATCGTTCGGCCCCATCGCATTCGCCATAACCGGACCCGCCACCGCAGGCAAGCACTCGAACCCCGACGAATCGGTGGGAGGCTCCACGGACGCACCGGAGAAAAAAAAAGACGAGTATCTCTGATAAACGGTGAGAAGTGGGGAAACGGATAACGAAAGGGAATTTCTCGGCACAACGATTTCACGCCTGCTCGACTTTGCATATCCCGTCCTGTTAAAGTTCCACATTCATTATCGCATTTTTTCGAGTGCTAAAGCATATATTTCCTTGTTACTGAGCTCATTAATTAGTTTGAATTAATTAGAGTCCTGCTTTGTTTTTCATCGAACGGTGGAGCAGGAAGTTCAGACGACCGTTTCCATGCAGATTTTTGTGACTCTGCAAATAATGCCTCAACGTTTTTGCAATCTGATGGATGTTCTCTGTGACATCTTAACGCAATGCTAAATACTTTGCTAAATGCTAAAATTCTTTTCTCATTCTTACACTTTGCGGTTCTCTACTGAACCGAATCCGAAACACAGTTTGTACTTGCTCCGTTTTCTGCCCATTTTCATTCAGCACCCCATGCACTTGTCGTGAGTCGTGCAAATTCATTTTCATCCAAAGCCTTTCGTAATTGTTTTGCCTAAATTAACCTGAAAAAAAAATCAGGAAGGTGAGTGTTACGAACGAAAGGGATCTTCGTGCCCCCCAAGGACAATGCTTCACCTTGGACAAGTTCAGAGTTTCTTTCATCACTTCATCGCCTTTACTATTGCTCTTCTCGCAACAAGGAGACAAAGAAACCAAGTGAGGCTCCTCGCAGCAGTGGCGTCGCCAGGTTCTCGTCAACGGGGGGCTAAGCGGAACGTTTGGGGCTAACTTCGCCTCGTCGGGGTGGGGCGGACGCATTTCGACCAGAGTTGGGGGGGTTTCCCCCCCCCCCCCCCCCCTCGCTACGCCACTGCCTCGCAGGACTGGCCTTAGGCATGTGCCAGATGGGGCCCCGCACAGGGTGCAAATTCACCAGGGGGCGCCAAAACGTGCCGGATTGAATGAAGCAATAATGGATACCACCCTCAGTTTCACTTGAGAAAGAGGAAATGCAATCCGTTTCGGCTTCTTTTTGGAAGCTAGGGGTTGATCCTTCTCCCTTCTGAGGAAGAGAGGGGGGGGGGGGGGGGGGGGGGGGGGTCTCTTTGCACGGGGCGCCGAAAAAGCCAGGNTCTCTTTGCACAGGGCGCCGAAATAGCCAGGGCCGGCCCTGCCTCCTTGAGGCCTATTTTTGCGTAAGTTGCGTAAACCACAGGTACGGCTCAGGACGAGGCAGGACTTCTTTACTTGTAGAGTGGTGAACGCGTGGAATGCGTTCAAGGACTACGTAGTGGCTGCCCCACGCCGTGACTATCTTCAAGAAGACACGAGATGCTTTTATGGACAAGCAAAAATGGGGGGGATGTTGACGTAAAGGACTAGGCAGTAAGTATGGGATATGCAAAATAAAAATCACAAAAATATTTAGCTCTAGGAGAAGTAGGCCGACCCTAAAATTCAGGAACGTTCGACCTCGACACGTGGTATCCAAATGGGTGTTATCGCCTCTTGCACTAAACTACCTTGATGCCTCGACTGCGAGAGGCAACGAGGCGATAGGAATGCGGAGATTGTGACGTGGGACTCGGCAACCATGCAGAGTGTGGCGCCTGCCTCGTTGTCGTTCTCCCGGCCTCTCAGTCGCCTCCTTGCTTTCGTGCCTTTTGGGTCCAAGGCTTCGCACCCGTTTTTCGCTTCGTCGTCTCGTCTGCCTGTTCGCAGGGCGGTCCGGAGTGGTCATCCGAAGTCAGCTCTTCGTTACCAGGGTGGACAAGGCCGTATCGGATCCCTTCCATCGGGAACGCAGCCGTCTTTCGGATTCGCAACCTCGTCGGGGCTCAAGAAAATGTGGAAATCAGAAGAACGTGGTGCTCGATACACGTTCGACTACAGAATATTTCTTCGTAAGTTTGCCAGCTTAAACAAAACTCTGGGGTCATCCAGTGACCATGGGTGTAACATTGGATGGTAGGTCGCGGAATGACTTGGCCAGAGGTAGGCCTAACCGAACTCAAAGGAGGAAAAGACTGATTAAGGAAAATGCCATGATAGAAATACTTCTGTCCGCAAAATAGCTTGTCAGTGAAAATATTGGTTCTTAATGATTCAATGTCACCAATATCCAAACACTCATATCGGTATCTTATCATTTCAATCTTCCCATTAATGAAAGACACAAAGTCCCACCGCTCTGTCTGGGTGAGATCATTCTCGGTCAAGGTAAATGGTTGCTGACGCAAGTGATAAGGGAAAAGTGAGACTATGGTGCTTATCATGTTGAACTTTCCCCCCCTTCTGCAAAGGGCTCCAATGGCTTGCAATGCTTTCCAATGATGCATTGGTGGACATTGTACTACAATGACTGCAGATATTGACTGTACTATTTCCATACTATATGCAGCTATTGACTATCTCTTGCCAGTGAGATCTAACCCCCTGCCAGTGAGAGTGGGAACTGTATCTGCCCTTTCCTGGTCTCATATCAGAATCATGCTAATTAATGTTCCAAAACCCCAGGTTGGTATTGAAGATAAAGGTAAGGTTCTAGGTATTGAAAGCAAGAGAAATGGTTTGTGAAGATTTGTACAAAAATTGTGAACTAATGCATTGAGGAGAAGAAAACCTGTATATTCAATGCTGAGGAGCTAGTGGTGAGCAGAAATATTCTCATGTCTGCTTGTCAAAAATTGAAGACAAATGGAATATGGAAAAGGTAAGGAGACATCGATAGCAGAAGCTTTAGAATTAGCAGCTAAAGGCTCTCATGAAAGGTGTCTGTCATTGAAATGATTCCCTATTGAAGGGCTTATATCTCACCTCTGAACTTACCTCACCCAAATTTTTCTTTATTTCAGCAATCTTGAAAAATCTGTAGAGCCATGGTAACTTACAAGGTTTTGTAGGTTTTGTTTGTTTGAGAGAAACAAACCAGAAGTAATTTGAGAGAATATTAAGCAACTACATAGGTGAATAATGATGACATTCTTGATGTTGACAGCAATTAGGTTCATCAATGCCCAAGTTCCCTGTGGGAGAACAAAGAGCATTCAATGTTAAATGTGGATGGATTGCCTCACAATGTGCATCTATAGCAGAGATTTTGCATAAATATTTTGGGAAAGTAAGATATTGTTATGCAATTGTATCTGATTCTAAATTTTGACCGCCTGTACTCATGATTGGTTATGTGATAACTTTTCTTGTAATTAGCCTTTTGTTAAGCCTGATTTCAATCCTCACAATGCTGGCTAGTGTTGCAAATCCCTATCTCTGGGGCATGAAACCATCCCCTCTGATCATGGCCTCAGGCATTGCAGAGATTTGTGAACTTTCTGTGCCTTTGGACTCTTGTCAGTCTGGGAAATCTTCTAGATATGTTGGGTATCCTATTACTTAGCTGGAGAAACTAAGCATAATTGTTATGGGTTTTCGAACAGTCTCATGCTGATGAGCTAATCAGGGGTAGCATCAAAAGCTTCAGTCATTACTTGCCATTGATTCCCTTATACTCTATCCCAATCTAATTGAAACTTTCACCTTATCTGTACCCTACCCCCCTTCTCCCATTG